CGATGGATCCTTGAGTGTGGGGAGATACGTGCATGCCGTATGAAATTGTATCTGGAATGAATCACAACATCACAACAACGCCCCCCCCCATGCATTTTTGTGATCCTTTGCTCTAGTACAAGGCTTTGGAAGCATGAAAACGTGTTCAGTTTCTCCCTTCTTTTAAGTCCAGACCCCTCCCTTCAATTCCCCACCGCCATGCAGCCCCTGAAAACAAAATTTAGTCTGAATTCAGTTGCTGGGAGCCTTGAATAAGAGCTTTAAACCGCAGTAACTCGTTTCAGAAAATAGCCAGCAGACGGAATGGGCACTGCAACTACATTGATAGCTTGTTTCCATTTACCACGATTCGTTCTTTGGAATATTCTGTTTTTCCTCCCAGGAACTCAGGCTGAAATATTACTCATCGGAAAGCGAAAGGCACACGGCACGAAAAGAGCCACCCTGAAGCTGTGGGATTACAGGTAAAGCTAGGCATCGGTTCCTACACGCACCCGGGATCCCTTTCCATCACTGGCGCAAATATCTGTGGATCGCCGCCCAGAGGATTCGGACCGATTCCTCCACGTTTTGGAAGCGACCTGGCGCTGCACCTCCGCAACCAGCGGGCCCCCGCTCCGCTCGCAGCTGCCGCTGCTCCCTGCGAAGGGAAGCCGTGACGCCCCGGTCGACCCCTCAGAAGACGCAGCCGCTCGTGCCGAGGGGCCGAGGGCCGGCGGGGGCGCGCAGGCGGCCGGCGAAGGGACGGGGCTGCGCGCCCGGAGGAGCGCCAGGCGCGGGCGGACCGCCAGCTGAGCCACGCGCCTCGCCACGCGGCCGCGAAGCAGCCCGGGACGGCGGCAGGACGCAGAGCGGAGCCGCGTTGCCCCCTGCAAGCCCAGCGGAAGAAAAGCCCCGGAGGACGGAGAGCCGCAGGCTGCTGGCTGCGGGGAAGGGCGGCAAGGCAGGAGGTTGACCCCGCGCGGATGAAAGGCGGATTGCCCGCGCTGTGGTACTGATCCGCCAAGGTTAAGCTGCTTCCTAACGCAAACTACGCACACAACACAGTAACCTCGCCCTGCTAATCTGGGTAAGGGAAACTCAGGTCTCCCGGGCGCCGACCGCGGGCGTAATATTTCCGGGTGGTCGCCCAGCCCAGCCCAGCCCAGCCCTGG